TGCATTAGTGGCCGAACTGACACTAACTTACACGCATTAGTTTAATTTGCAAGGAGGGTTATGATGCTAGGTTGAGTATCTTCGGTAATGTCGTGCTGTGTATGATTCGCAGGGAATACTTTATGAGTTTAGTGGTCTTGACCAGGGTGAGTTTTGGGACCAAAGATGATGGCGGTAAAATGGTTGGCGTTTGTCTCGGTTGTTGAGATTTGAGTAGATATCATCTCTTTTCCGGGGAGAAGAGAGTGGAGGGGACTACGGAGGTTGGGCCGAAAAGTCTTTGCTCAAAAGAACTTACGCCACAACCAAGGACCCTTGTCCGGTGCTATAAGGTACAAGGCTTCTAGATCATTATAGAAGGGATCTTCTATAATAGACCTATAGCTTTAGGGCTTACAGCGGCCAGTTTAAGATAAATTACTGACTGAAGCCCCTAGAATTAGATTACGATCAGCAGCTGGTTTCTCGCTTGATGTATTTGATGTATCTAGAGATAAGTGGGTCGTTCAGCCACAGTTCTTTTGGGCAAGGACTTTGCGACCGAACCTCCGTAGTCTATGATTGGCTGATTGTCATGATGTTTTCTCTGTTGCGCGATATCAGGTGTAGAGATATCACATTCAGTCAGATCTTGTGGCGAAATTGAGATGCAGGGTCTTTACTTGCAGCCAATCTTTCGTCATTGGGAGGGTTTGTTCAGCAACTGACATTGCAAAGACATCAGGGTTCACAGAACAAAGAGATGTTGTTGAAAACATATGCTTGTGTCAGTTGATTCTCAGCCGTGACCGTGACTGTGACTGTGACTGTGACTGTGACTGTGACCGTGATTGTGCAACTACAAACACGGGACAGGATGCTCACAAACAGTCCACAGATGCCCTAATGTAAGCACCGCTTGGTAAACCAGATATCTAACCGCCCGCCCAAGCTGTCAGAACCGACCGGGCCTGAACATCCGCTGTCAGTTGTTGTCTCTTCAGCCTCCCCTCCCCCTAAAAAGTGACATGTCCTATTCCCAACAGCCGAGTTCCAGACCCCCCTCCCCCAAGCACAACGTGGCAACCGGGAGTCACCAGTTACAAGATGACGTAGCAAGAACCCATGAATTCCATTATCGTAGCATGCGTCAGAAAATCTGATCCGACCTTTTTTTTTTTTGATTGCAAGGGTCGGGCTCTGAATCACGGGTGGTCCCCCGCCCTTACATCTCACCGGAGTGGAAACACGGTCTGTACGACCCAGGAGCCCAGAGTTTTTTTATATGCCGAAACCGTGTAGGTGTTTGCTGATCATCAAGCAAGATTGACGTTTTTGTTATGCTGGGTAGGGTTGTATTTGGGAGGGGGGAAGATACCCTTGCTTCGGAGGATGGAATGACTCTTGAAACTTGGCGGGATGTGTGCTGACGGTTTGAGACATGATTCGTGAAATCACATTTTATAGGTGATATCATTCGGTGATAGGTGATGGGAGTGAACCATTGGATTGAAGTGATTGAGATAACTATTGTGATCCAATGCCTAATGATTGCGGTCACAGAGGACAAAACAGGGAGACGACACCCCTGAAGTCAAGCACTGACTGACAACAACCATGTCCTACAGGCAATAGGCTATAGGTCGTGTCCACAAACATTTCTGAAACCGTACCTCAAAAGCAACTGACATTCAGGATCTGCACGACATGCAAATTAATTTGCTTCTCCCGAAGAAGAAATACATCAGAAATCAACCTTCTATAGCGATTCCATTTCTTCTCGTATCGCCCTCCCTGTCATGTCGTGTCCTGTTACTGTCACTGTTATCTCTTTACTTTTTCCTCCTGTTAGTTACGGTAGGTGTGCTGTAGGTGTGGATTGCACCGGGACCTATCGGCGTATTTTTCCCTCACTCTGAATGGATACCGAACCATTGTTTCGGGTGCATTAGCGCCAATGTCTCTCCCTCTCTCTTTTTATCCCGCCCCTCTCTCCCTCTGTTCACCGCATATTTTGCTTTGCTTTGTGTAACACTTTCCCGTAGCCCGGATGCGTTTGCCGGTTAAAACATAATAATCGTCAGATCATGTTTTTGCGTATGGCCCTTCTTTTTGTTTCGGACTTGGCCGATGCGGGAAGAGACAAGATTGGAGGGAGTTTCACTGCGTATTAACTCCTCCGTATGTCCATCCACTCTGTTTCTCTTTCGGTCAACTAGCTTGGCGATATCTACAGATCCAATCCATTACAGACTAGTTAGGCCGATGGCTCTATCGCGGGGAAGAGGGGCCAATAGATAGCTCCGAACACTCGGGATTAGATCAATCGCTCACTGATGTCATTGCTAATAATGCCAGATCAAATGTCAATTTTCTTTATCCTCTCTCACTTCCACTTTCTCTTGGCCTTGTCTCAGAAGAGTCAAAATGCCACTTTCAAGTCCCGGCTTATTTCCTTTTTCCTCCAAGGGTGCAGGTGGGCTAGACCTGACCTGGCCTGGCCCTGTTTCTCATGGATCCCGTCTTGTCTTTTTTCACGGTTGCACACACCCCGGAACCACTGCCAATCCCGCCACTGAGAGAAGAGAAAAGAGACAACACCATCTCAGTCCCTGCGATCGTTTAACATGGTCCCCCTCTAAAGGTGCTTCTAGAAGAACTAGCACTCCCCTCTAAATAAGTAAACTTTAGTGGGCTGTGTTCTCTACTCTGGTTTCTGACATTGCACTGAACTCCATTGAGAGCACTAAAAGTCTGTCGTAGTGTTGGTCTTGTTTTCTCTTGTCTCGCATCATCTCATCATTTACTTGCTTCTTTTGTGCTGCGCCGTGTTTTCCCCTTTTGTGTGGCTCCACCCGCTCAGACGCACCCACGCCCACGCCCACGCCCACGCAGCCAGCCCAGCCCAAGCCCAGCACAAAGCCTGGCTCTGCTCTGCTCACCCTCTCTCACTTTTTTTCGGGGCGTTTCACCCTTTGACAATTTCACATTCCATTTCAGAGACATTTTCAGCTCGGATCATATCATATTTCCCGTTTCCCCCGTCTCCCGTCCATGTATATTTCCGTTTGTGTCCGTGTCTTATACCCGAGCCGCGCGTAAAACACTCTCACTTTGCACTTTCATCACACCTCGCCCTGTCACTGTCACTGTGTCTTTTTTATATCTCACACGACCATCTTCTGTCTGTCTGACTGACTATCACTCCAAATGGATACTCCAAACAGAGCTGCCGTTGTACATCCTCAATACGACGCCCAGTCTACCCAGCAATTACTCGCTCTTGTTCAACATCTTCAGGTTACATCACGGACTATGGCCAAGCAAACTCCCGCCTCCGACCAGAAGAACAGTACCATCGTCACCGATATTGGCGACTATCTCATCCAGGCTGCGCAGGCTTGGGCGCAGATGACGGATGCTCTGGTGGAAAGCCGACAGGTTCACCAAGCAGTAGTTGATGCGCATGAACAAGCTATGGTCAACAATCATCTTTCCGATCTTTCTACTGTCGTCTCCATGGATGTTGATCTCACAAAGCTCTCGTATGTCAGCACGGCTGAAGTCTATGACGTGACTGACAAATCAATAGCAAGATCCGCGATTTAACAGCGCAATTCTCACGAGATGTGCATCAAGTTTGGCAGAATGATGCGCCGTGTCCGGGCAAATCGCCGTGACATATTTACTTGCGAATAGAGGTTCTTGGGATGGGTTCACTGGGTTATTTCATAGGCGTTTCTGGGAATGATATCCGCATCTTGGTTGGAAGATTGCTGCGTTATTTCATTCATCACCTGCTCGCTAAAATTGCATATTCTATTTCCTCTCCTCCACCATCGTCTTCTGTGTATCTCCTGACCTGACCTCTACTGCTGTGATGACATCCGCTGCTGTGATGTATGTGATAATCAAGTGGCTTGGCTTCTATATCTGGATACATTCGTTATCTCGACATGGACAATGCTCAACCAAACGACGCATGAAAATTTGCTCTGTGGATCAAGTGGCTTGAATCTATCCATAATATATGAAACTGCCAACGTATTCATGGACCTCATCCGGCCAACAAATTCGTGGCATGACTTTTCTGTCGGTGAGCCTCCTGACTCAAAGCCTGGAAGAGAGGCATATCATGACTCATGACCTTGTGAGATGACATGAGGCGTGTGTAAGAATGTTTTCATTCTTCGTCATCTGTCTGTATGTGACAAGAGTCCAAATGATATCTCCGCTCAGCTCAGCTCAGCCTTATCAACTCCATTTTGGCATGTCACATTTATTTATGTTTGTATTACCCAACCTTTCGGCATTTGTATTGGAAGGGGGCCTGAAATACACTTTGAGGCCACCACCCAATGGATACCCGCTGCAGGGTCTTGCAGCCTCTAATGCATTATTATGCACAAACCTGGCATTGGCACTGACAATTCAGCTTCTGCTGCCTTGTAATGCCCTGGTCGAGCAGAAGTCTGTTAACCTGGTCCTTGGTCAGATTTAAACCCCGCATAAAAATCTGCGGCATGAACCATGGAAAAATGTTTCTTGGGGGCTTGAAAATGCACGCGACAATTTCAACCACCTATTTATCACTCTCTGCATTCGCCTATCAGCTGAGTTGCCCGACCAACTTGGCCGTTGCTCATGGCTTGGGCCATTGGATGTCCTTCCTATAGGAGAAGGTCTAAAAGACATTACTAATTTCAGATTATTCCAATGTGGCATTACAAATTATCATTTGTAGAAGAAAGCTGTATTGTAAGTTGTGGCTCATTTCACCAAACAGATATTTGCATAGCACGAGGTTGAAAACAATGATCAGACTCCATTCCATAAACGACATTGAGAGGCAGTTTTGGTTCAGTTTGTATATTCAAAAAAGAATCCAAGAAGATGCAGACCAAATAAGCAAATTCCCCTTTATGTCAAGTTCCATCACCACGTTGTTTGCCTTCCATCCTCTACCAAGCCAATGCCGAATTCCGAGCCAAACCAAAACCAAATCCTTTCCAACCCCTGCCTTACTCCAAGACCTTGTCCTTGCCCTTATCCTCGTCCTTGTTCTCTGTAGGACCAACTCCGCCAGAGCTGGCCTCAGTGGTACCGCCCTTAACCTCACTGGCCTCGATATCAGACTTGCGAAGACCAGCCTCCGCCAGGTCGACATTAACAAAGTCAGGTCGATCGGCCTTGGTCTCTGCAAAACCGGCCTCAAAGGATTCGGCTTCAGGCTCAGATTCTGTGGCAACATACTTCGTTGCAGCAGGCTCCTCTGTGATAGGTTCAGAGCCAGCAGACTTGGTAGCACTAGTGTCTTCAGCAACAGGTTTTTTGGTAGTTGCTTCAGACTCGGCTATGACAGATTTATCAAGAGCAGACTCATCTGTGATAGGCTCAACGACAACAGGTTTGGGGGTACCAGGCTCATTAGCATAAGGCTTATTGGTGACGGAGCCGGTAGCAGTAGTCTCAGCTATGACAGATGGACCAGCAACGGGTTCATCTGAAATAGTCTTGGTAGTGGTAGACTCCGCAGTACTAGGCCTCAGAGCATCGGGTCTAGCAGTACTAGGCCTAGTAGTAGCAGGCTCAGAAGTGGCAGGTGAAGGTGGACGAGGCGTAGGAGGGCACGGAACAAGAGATCTGGATTTTTGCAGGTCAAAACCAAACTCATCTCGTCCATGCACTTCGTCCAACTCGTCAGGGACCTCAAATTCATCAGGATGAATGAGGTTCAGGGGACCACCTGGATATGCTGGGGGGACTGAGTACTCAGAGTAGTCAGAAGAGTTCTCACTACTGCTCCCTGATCGCTGGTCTTGCCCGGGGCCGTAGGGGTGATTGGAGCGTCGAGCATTCTCAGGCTTGCGACGAGTGCAGCAGCAACAGCAGGTCAAGACCTTGGCGATGAAGAAGAGGGGGCGAAAGTCAGGCATGTTTGCGGTTATGAGTGGGAGTATTTGTGTGGGAATGTGTGTTCAAGGGGGAGATTTGTGTGATTGTGTGATTGTTGTGTTTGTGTAAATGGGTTGAGTTTGATGGTGGTTCAGACAGTTGGTTGAGGTTATGAAAAATCTATTTGGTCATGAAGGAGTACGAGAGGTTTATATACAGGAAGGGGGGGAAACCATTGATCGTTATCGTTCGAGGCGGTCGTTCAGTGTTTGCTGAGTTGTTGTTTGGAACACTGAATAAGAGTCCGTTTGGGGACTGAACATGTGGCAAAGAGACGAACAATAGCCAACAATAGTACAACAATAGTCTATATATGATACATTCAACGAATCATTGCAACGAACATGACATAAACAACTGATCTGCTGAAGCTGCAGTTTTAGCCCTTTCTGAACACAAAATCAAACAAATCCAATTTCGCTGGTGTATGTCGAATTCCCATAAACACTGTTGTATCAATTGTTCTTCAAGTAGCGCAGCTGAACATGCTCTTCTCATTTTCCTGATAGTAAGATTTATCTCGATCAAACGCTGCAACAGTATAGCAGGCTGTAGACTGGGCGAGCTTTACCAAACAATCCAGCCAGTAGAGGGTTTTCACTCGTGGCACATACATGAAAAATACAAAGCCTGCCAAACTCGGCCTTCGCTTAGCACGAGACAACGAAAGTGAATAAAGCATTGCAAACGATCTATACTCGCGAAGCCACCAGACTCATGTAAATTCCCCAAAGGAGACCAATGAAGCTCAAAAACACGATTCGTCGGTGGACAGGGATGAAAGTGAAACTGATGATAGATGCAACAGGCCAGATCTTGTAGCCAGCCACAATGATGGGAATCGTTTCCTGTAAGATATTAGAGTGGCCCGCAAATAGCGAATGGTAACGTACCGTCTTGATGTTGCTCCAAATCTGGGAACCGCCCTGACCTTTGAGCAGACCCATGATGATCAAAAACGCAATCGTGTTCATTATAGCCCCTGCAGTGATACAATCAACAAACCACTTGGAGATAGTGTTGCGCATACTGAACTGAGGCTCTCTATCCTTGTTGATCTGCGCCATGCGCTCCTCGTAGCCCTCCTTGAGCTCGGGAGCGTCTTCAGTAGGCTGCATCTCAAGATCATTCAGACGCCCGAGCCGTGGACCCCTAGCAGCAGGATAGGCGGGAAATGTTCGCTCCAGGTACCCTTGCCATTGATAGTTTGGGGGAGCGGTCATTAATGTGAGGGAGACAAAGCGCAGAAGCTGGACGATGTCTAGGGAGACCGGACGCTGCGGAAATTAGATAGTGGACTTGATGATAGCAGCGATTCCAGATTTTGAGATTTTTTATTCCAAAAATATGATATAAAGGCTGCTCATTTTGTCAAACTCACACTCTGTTGACGAGCCTCAATGAACTGGGCAAGGATATTAGAGATGGTCGACAGGCCCGCAGCCTGGAGTGTAGCGGCAACGATCGGAGACGGCATTTTCGCGTAAAAAGGTAGAAAAGAGTGACTGAATGAGTAAATAATAAGACGCGGGGAATCGATTGCGTGTCAATTATTGATGTTGATCTTTCATGTCAGCTTCAGATTGATGAGAATTTTGAGATGAGCTGGAGAGCCAGCTTCGTCTCACGTGCGGGCGTTGGAGCTCGGGATAAGTAAGATCCGCAAAATGCAACCCCCTTTTCCTTCCTCGTATCAACTGCCGGGCTTTGAGACATTAACAGTCGTCGCCAAGATGAGATATCATTGATTTGGCACTGAAGTGTCTGAATCTGGCGTTGAAATTGAGGCGGAAGTGAATTATCAAGATTGGCAATTCCCTTGTTGGGTCTGGATTACCATGGAAAAAGTCAAAGCTCGCAGTGTTTGAATTATTCTTCCATTATTTCAGACTGAGCATTACGTTCTTTTGCTGATAATACTCAGAATGCTGAGATAAACACAAGGGACTTATTACTCAAGTAAGGATATTCAACCGGACAACTATCAGACTCTCATCTCAGCCAGTAGCCAATCTTGAGACTTCGAAACTGGAAAATAGCATGAGGACAGAAGCATGGCCTTCTTGAAGAAGTGATGGCAAGAAAAGCCATTTGGTGTCTATAATACATCAGTAAATCTATTCAAGTTCAAATACTCATGGTCCAAAAGTGTATAACTTTCTGGAATAGTTAACTCCTATAAATTAAAGTAGATACAATTAGTAGATATGCGCATGGAAAGACAGAAAGAAGTCGCACCTTCCGAGTCGTCGACTAGCTGTGACCTCTCCATTCACGATTTCGCGATGGCTTCACTCAATCATACAGATGCCTCAACGTTCGAATCTTGGCCAAATCAAAAAGAAACAACAGCAAAAGAATTGTCTCGTCTCAACCGTCGGTTTCAATGCGTAATCTGGGAATCGAACCCAGGGCTCCCCGACGCTGCTCGAATGGCAACGGAGAATTTTACCACTAAACCAATTACGCTGATAGAGGCGGTTGAGGACCCAATTGGATGAGCTGTGATTGTCGGTTTTGTATTGAAGATTATACCAGTCTCTCCCCGGCACTGCCCAGGTTGGGTCAACGTCCAAAAGGCCTTGTCATAAGTGCCTTACCTGGGCCGAGAATCGGCCTCGTATTCAATGGTTCGTACGACTGGGTCGTGACCAACAGGTTAAGCTGATTTGCACCGTTGGACACTACTCCATATGTTCAGAAGAATACCGTGCTGTCGTGCAAGCGGAATCCTACACGTGGTTGTCACAGTCTCTGAGCTTATCAACAATCAAAGTTTGACTCGTAAGTTTTCCAATTACGTGCAGCAAGATAACCTCGAAACTATGTTTGAGAACAACTGCAGCCAATGAGCTGTGGCGGGTGAGCTAGAAACGGCATAAGGTTTCACGCTCAATTCTCTTTCGCTGCTTGAGGGTCATCTCGTAGACTTACACGGCATTAACACTGCCTTGTTTGAGGGACATTCATAATAAGTGATTATTCTCTACGATGACACAACATCTCAAAGTCTCACACAGAGACTCTTTCACGAATCCCGGTGAGAACTTCGTGTATTTGTGGGGTGGAAGGTATTGACTTTGGTTCCGCTGATAGTTATTTTTCCACATTAAGTTTGTCTCGCCCTCACCACGAAACTCAAATAAATTCTCTTATATATATCTGTCCATATTCCAGTCTTGCCAGTATTCTATTTTCCTCCATTCTATCCCCACAGACAACATGCATTTCTTCAAGAACCTCGCCATTTTGCTTCTCCCAGCAGCAACCCTAGCTGGAGTCATCCCTTATAGAATCCGGAAAGGCTACGCAAATCCGAAAACAGGGCCAGGCTCAAAGAAGATTAACGAGATTGACATTCAAGAAGAGAATAATTTCTTAAGCTTCAAAGGCACACCTCCCGGAGAAGTTGTTCAAGACGGTGTCAAGCTGAGGATTCTTTCTGTTGGTGACTCGATCACTGTTGGCTCTGGAAAAGGGACAGATGGAAATGGATACCGGAAGAGACTTGGAGAGGACCTAAGTGGTAAAATCGTGCCATTCTCTTCGAGGAATTTGACTAACATCGCTTTAGGAAATGAGGTCGTTTGGGCTGGCACTGAGAAGACAGCGGGAGATATGAAAGATGGGCACTTTGTAAGTTCCCCAAAATTCCAGAAAATGGGAGTTTGTTCTAATATGCTTTTAGGCAGCCTGGTCTGGAAAAACAGTCCAATACATCAACGACCACATTGATCTATCCCTCGAACACCGCCCCAACCTCATCCTCATCCACGCCGGAACAAACGACATGAACAGTAAAGATCACGTTTCTACAGAAGGAAAGCACCCTAAACAAGCCGCCGACCGCTTAAGATCTTTGGTCGAAAAGATAATGTCCAAATGTCCTGACGCCACCATTATCATTGGTATGATCACCGATGTCTGCGACAGCGAGTGGCGTCACTTTCAGAGAGAGAGGACAAAGATCTACCGGGATCATATTGCTAAATTGGCAGCTGAGCTCAGCGCAAATGGCTCACATGTACTTGCTGCTGATTTCGGGCCTTTTGACGATACGCTTTTGAGCGATTGTGTTCATCCGACGCATCAGGGATATCAAGTCTTGGGGGATTGGTGGTATGATTTTATTCATCAGATTCCCGAGGGTTGGATCAAGGATCCTGTTGGGCCTGACCCTGTTCGGGATTAGGAAAATCTGGATGGTAGTAGGATAGCAGTGACGGAATTTCTAATAGTTCGTTTGATCAATTTTCTCTGTCAGTATGATATCTATCTTGGTCACTGCAATAGGTATATCCAGCATCAGACAAGCCTTTCACGGTTTTGGATTTGATGGAAATAATTCAAGAGATACAGCTTAAGTCTATGCAATTATTGTATTACCGTAGGCACATTTCTCTGCCATGAGTGAGTGCTAGCTCCTGGTATGTCCTTGGGCCGTCAGTACCAGAATGTGAAAAGAGAAGCGTGGAACCAACCAAAGCTTAGTAAATGTCTCTATATATCAGCCAGTTTAAGGATATATTATTCTTTTTTCCCGGATTGTTTGTGGCCCAGAGGTAATGTTGGTAGAAATGAGAAGCATCGCTCCGCATAGGATAAAATAGCAACATACATAAGGATGACATTCGGCCCTTTGGACTGATCTTCGAGCGTATGTGTGACTTCCATTGATTACCCTCGCGGATCATTGCAGAGTTCTTATTTACTGACCAATCATTCGATGTTCTTTGTAAGTGCAACTATGAACGCCAAAAGATCAGGCGCCGTTACTCAGCTTCTGGTCTATCCGAGTTGTGTTTGCATAGTGAACAACGCACAGGGTCGCTATCAACGTACTGATTTCCGCTCTTCATTTCTAGATCATATATTCACGTATCCGTTCGCAAATCTCATAGCTGAACGGTTATGATACACATACAAATTTCACTTGTTCTCGTCTGCACATTATCTTCTCTTCGTCAGTTCATCAGGCCGGACGAGATGAATCATATAACACACCAGGTTTAATGAATAACAGCTTCATTTCGGTTGAACAACTATATACACTTCATGGAACTCACCTCATCCAGAAATCATATATATATAGTAGGCCCCTCCCCTCCGTCTCTTCTCAATCATCACCTCACTTCACCACACTCACATACAGACACATATCACAGCAACTACAACACTCCACACTTCGCAAATCGCACACACTACCCACAATCAGGATGTCTCCTCAAGACAACGCCGCTGCTAACACCATGGACACTACCGGTCCTCGCCGTCGTAGCTCTGCCACCATGGGCAACGTTGCTAACGAGCCAGTCGATCGCAGCGCCCAGACTGCCGTCTCTCGAAAGCAGAAGCGGGCTAACCGCCGAAGCACTCTCCGAATGCAGTCGGAGGTGGCCCCTTTCCTCGGCATGTACCTACATAACGAGGAGGACGAGGCCAAGGAGCGCAATAAGGCCGACGACAAGAAGGAGGAAGAGAAAGAGAAGGGGGAGAAGAATGACGAGGAGAATGAGCAGAAGGACGGGGAGGAGGATGAGGCTGAGAAGGAGAAGTAAGCTCCCCTTTCCCGGGCTAGACATGTAGAATCCAGGATTCTAACAGTTTAGCCGTCCCCCCATCCCCATGCAGAACTAACAAAACACCAAAAAAAGATTAAAACAACAAAGCACAAAAAAAGACGGCGGAAGTGGACTGCAGCCAGGTGTTTATATAACACCACCAGCTGGTGAGTCAGAGTTTCCCGGCGAAGGAGAAGAAGAAGCAGGGAGTTGGTGGAAGAGGAAGATACTGGGCATCTCAGTGCGGAACTGGAGATTATCCTGATCTCCCTAGATAGCCAGGTTTTCCTGTCCAAGCGATGGGGATTTGGACAGTCTTTTGACCTGGGTTTGCTTTGTTGGCGATGGTAGATCTTTAGCTAGTAGGTTAGTTGGGAATTGATTTGCCTTCCCTAATTTGTTCTCTGTTCTTGCAAATGTGATATCATGACTGTGACCTGATACTATATCAAAGCAATGTTCATTTGGATAGTGAGAACTAGCCCGTCTTCACCCGCCACGAGATATCCAATCTGTGTCGTTATTTCCTTTACCTGCAGTGAATCAGAACGATTAATGCCCAATAATTGCCACTGATCAATTTAAAGGCTGGCACTTGGTGATAGGATGCATACAGTTCACTAGCTACTGTAAGACGGCTCAAGTTTTGGCCGTTCTGACATGCCTTACCCACTGCAGATCACAGATGAATACTAGCTGGGATATGGTGAATTGCTTAACGACTTTTTTCCATTATATTGGCGTAAATCCTGTGAGGTCCTCATCATGGGGGAACTTATAGCTCAATAACCATGGTCTAGAGCATAATGTATTATGGTATACAGATTCATCAGCACCGTGGTGATTAAAGTCCCAAATAAAATGTCTTGACTATATTTATGAGCCTGATATGGATAAAAATAATGTTTGGGGACACTCAACTTCGATGTAAGCACTACGGCGGACTCGATACGTCGGGATCTTCAGTTCTTCAACTCCGAACATTTTACTCGGCTGTGCAACAAGTTTACAGACTTATATTGCTGCGCTTCAGTATATATATACTATCTTGAATGACTCGGAGACCTATACTCAGACTGGTATCATTGCAATAATTATTATGAGTCTGGTTTGTTGCCCTGTACAATCTCCATGGGATATGTCTTACGATCAGTCGTCAACCGGTCCATCGGCCCTCAAAAAGCCCCCCGATCCCCGATATCCCTTCCAAAAATGGTAAAAAGGCACTAAAATCCCCCCTGGAACAGCCACACGCGTACAACCGGGCGATATAAAAGCCCCCGAAACCCGGGATTAACGGCCGATTAAGCATCATTACCTCCGGCGCATTCAGTAAATCACACTGAACCTGCATCTCGTGCCATTCAATTTACACTTTTCATCTTCGTTTATTAACTTTCTTGGTGTATGTAACACTATGGATGAATGCCTCATCAGTCAGGATCAGGATCGCCAGGATGCGGCGCAAAAGACGAGGGCTTGTACGAATTGCGCGAGGTTGAAGATGAAGTGTCAGTGGCCTAGTTCTGGCTCTGGCCGAGTAGAAAAGACATGTTCAAGGTATGATATAGGATGTTCAATGTGGAATGTTGGCTAATGCTTGGAGTAGATGTTTGAGGATGAAGCTTGATTGTCAGGTACCCGAAATTACACAGCGACGAAAACGCGGCAAGTCAACGTAAGTCCTCTCATTCATTGATATAATAAACTTGACTGACCTTCATAGACGAGTCGCTCAATTAGAGAAAAAGATCGATGGCATCGTCTCTCTCCTCTCCGCAACCCAGCGCAAAGGCCTCTCCCCTCTAACACCAGAAAGTCCCCAAGAAGTCCAATCCCACGCCCCATGCCAACCTCACACCCAGGAAAACCCCTTCACCAACCAAATCCCCGACGACAGCGTCCGCTTCAGTACAGACGTTGAACTATTCCCTGGCTTCCGCGTCTCGCAGCAGGAAGCTTCTGAGCGTCTTGCTGTATACCGCAGAGACTACGTGCCGCATTTTCCCTTTGTCCCTGTGCCGAGTTCAATGTGTGCTTCGGAACTGTATGTTGAGTCGAGGGTCATGTTCTGGACGATATTGGCGGTTGTTTCACCGTTGAATGATAAGGCGCAGATGGAGTTTAAGGCGTGGTTTAGGAGATATCTTGCTGAGCATCTTGTTGTGAGGCAGGAGAAGTCTCCTGACATATTGCAAGCGATGTTGATCTATTTAGCATGGTGAGTCTCCTTTTGGAGTGTAAGTGCCTTTGCTAATTGATCAGGAATGACTTTCACTTTTATGGAGAGCTTCAAGTTACAAACATTATACAAATGGCTATTGGTCTAGTCATTGATCTACGGCTTGACAAGCACGCTGGACACTTTCTAGGAGGACCAAAGACACTTCTTGGCGATGCATGGACGTCAATGAGCAAGCATCCGCTCAAGATGAAGGTTCATCAAACAGCAGCCGAAAAACGAGCTGTTCTGGGCGTATACCACATCACAAATCTGTAGGCCAACATGCCCTCATTACCTCAACGTAGCTAACAAGACCAGACTAAGTCCGTACTTCAGAAAGAGCACCATCTTCCACTGGAATACACACCTCGCTTCCTGCTGCGACAACCTCGCCGAAGCACGAGAGTATGAATCAGATATCTATCTTGTCTCTCTCGTTCGTATGCAACACTTGGCCGATCGGGGATTCAGCGTCATACCATCCATTGATCCCTTCGATCCAACACCTCCAACATTCCACGCCGTAACCGCCATGGCTCTTGACACCGTCCATCGCGAATTGGACAACTACTTTAAACTACAGCCTGAAATCGTGAAGCAAATACGTACGTCTCCCGACTCAATCACAGCACCAAAACTAACTGTCGCAGCTGGCTTCAGAGCCCACTACAACTCCATCCTCGTCCGTCTCTACGAGCCAATCCTCACCATGAAACCCCCAAGCATCCTATCCAGCGACACATCCCCAACCGAACCCTTTCTCCGCACTGAATATCTCTGGAAATGCCTCGAAGCCATCCGAAACACCCTCGAGAACCACGTCACACTGCCCCCCGAGAAGATATCCATCCTCCCTGTGACAGTATCATGCGTCCTCGCCTTCGTAACAGTCACGGCATCGCGCTTGATCATGGCGGAGAGCTCTACAGACTGGGATCCAAAAGCCGCACGTCGACGCCTTCAGTTCCAGGATATTCTGCAACGATTGAGCGATCAATTCGCTCAAGCTGATGAAGAGGCGCAGAGGCTGAATAGGAGACGTAGAGTCATGGAAGATGGGAGCAGTGTGTTTCTTAAGTCGTGCTTCAAGGTGAGATGGATTCGACAGTGGTATTTGTCAAAGATTCCAGAGGAGGAACAGCAGTTGTTGGTGCCGCAGCCTCAGACTACGGTGGAGAGCTCGAGTTTATTTCAGGGCAATCCAGACTGGGCGACTAATATTCAGTTTGACGATGAATTCTGGGCGGATTTGATGACGGGGTTCGATATGGAGGCTTTTGATAAGTCTCTAACTGCTGCTACAGCTCAATAGCGCGATTGACGCTACTGTATGATTTGACTATAGCGTGTACTATTATTTAATGATACCTCAGAACATTAATTGAAATAATACCCAAAGTAATGATCAATATCAACTGCCGTTCAAAGTCTGTTTTATGCCCATGCCCATGCTATACTCTTCATTGGTGACGGCAGCTTCGGCCGGATGTGCCCGGACGAAACAAGGGTCCAGCGCCGAATTATGTTTCATTTCCCAACTAAAGCTCCCTCTTCAACATTCTTGCACCAAAAGCTAGAAGCCATTGACACAAAATAACACTTTAACATCGTCCCAATCGCCATCTCATTATTGTATTATTTATTGCTCAACTCATTCTCATTTACCAAATGGCACAAAAAGCAGCTCGCGACTGGGTATACCTGGTCATAATCTCACTCCAACTCATCGGCATGATCTGTCCGTATTCCTTACCTCAACCTCAAGGCTCTCACTAACAATCCCCAGGTCTTGAATTCACTGAATTCTACCCTGACTCAATCTATTCTGCACCCAATGCCCCTCTCCACTTTCTAGCCAACGTCAAAGAACAATACCTCTCCTTCTCGGGAGATCCCTTCTTCGGGGACAAGTTCCACGGAGCCTGGTTCCGCAGCATGTTCTTCATCGAGATCTTTGTCCAATTCCCTCTGGCTATTTACATCGTGCGGAATCTCGCTGCGAAAAAGCCTTCGTCTGGACCTGTTGAACTCGCTGGTCTGGCGTATGGTTGCTTGACTGCTATGAGCTCTGTGGCTTGTGTTGCTGAGCTGTTGGAAATGGGGCCCGAGTTGGTGAGCGAGGAGCATAAGAGGAATTTGGTTTGGGGGACGTATTTCCCTTATGCGCTTATTCGTAAGTCCCCATTCGTTTGTTAAGATGTTCACTAATGAGATCAAGCTGGTGCTATGGCCGTTGATATGTACACACGATTGTTGCGCCGTGTAAGCACTGATATCAAGCCCAAGACACAGTAGAGAACACAATCACGAAACGGCACTTGTATGACAGATAGTCAGTGTGGACTGTTGCCTCCGACTTTTCCCATTACTGTTCTACATTGCAAGAATCCCATATCCATCCCTGACTCCATAAATGCACTGTACATAAAAACCTGGACCTCAGTCCATTCTCTTATTCTGCTTCGAGTATCCCCATCCATTGCCCATAGTGCTCACTCCATATCCCAAAGGCGTCGCACCCCCAAGAGCTCGTCCCTTGAGTCTCCTGGGCAGAATCACACCAAGAGTGTACATAGTAGCACACAACACACCAGCGCCAAAGGACACGAGACTGTAGAACACAGTGCTCGCGTAAATATGACCACCTAAGCCCTGCCATTCAACCTTTCCTTCTGTCTTGGGCAGCGCCGGTGTAGGGAACCATCGCACAGAGAGGCTCAGCGGTAATGGATCGCCAATGACCAATTTTCTTGTATGCGAGCCCTGTAAATGATGCAGCGGACTGGTACTATACGCAATCGCTGAATCCAAAACACCACTGTCGTGAACATGAGTATGATGCTTCGGCGTGCTATGTAGCAACACGTTCATATGCGTGCTGATATGTATATGGCTAAGCTGTAATGTGCCCGCGAGCGCGAAAACAACAGGGACGTATTCGCGCTCGGGGACCTTCTCGCCAACGACTTCGACTTCGACCGCTGGACGCGCAGGGATACGACATGATAGAGGCGCATCGGAGTGGATGTAGAACTCGAGGAGGTGGAAGAAAGGGTCGTCGATCATGGCTATCGTGCAGTTCACTTCGCCTTCTTTGCCGTAATTAAATTCAAGAGAGCGGCCGGTTTCGTTGCAAATGGGGAAAGGTTTCCATTCGATTTCGTGCTTTTCGTTTTCGACATGCTCGCCAGTTTCTCTACGCCTCGTTAGAGATGTAGCTATAATTGGGTGATGGTACGTACGAGTTGCGGTTCATGCATTCTACGGGAATGGGAGCGCCGTAGTGATATGAGGGAAGACCATCTTCTGGATTCGCTGTGACGAGGGGCGTTAATGCGCCCAGGGCGACAAAGGCCCAGGCGATGGGAGCGATCATGATAGCGGTGCGATTCGAGGGCGCAAAGAAGTGGTTTATGAGAAACCACCCTCGTTTATTCGGCGACTTGAAGCGTCTATATCAAGCATCAAGATCATAACATGGCGATTAAGAAAGTCTGTTTGGCGAGCCTTGGAGGGTTGAGTTGAAGCTGGGTTGATGCTAAGTATGTGGAGATAAGATGCCACCCTGGACTCGAAGGGACAGTGTATCACGTGTCGCTTCATTCCAGCGCCAAGAAAGTGAAGCATTTACAATGAACTTTATTAAATGCTTTACATACTTGGATATTGAATTAGAGTCAGTGAAACAGCACTCTTTTCTTAGTACAAATTGGGGAGTTGGGTAAGGAATTGGTGGAAATGTCTGCAGATATGAGACCCTGTAGCCACTCTGAATAGTGACGAGAAGGAGTCTTTGATGACCACTGATATACTTCCTAAGAGACTATCTAGTTCTTACACAAACAGGCACTATAGGCCAATCTTCAGTTGAATAATTTATACTCAATTATGCAGGCTTCATTATAACTATTATCATCACATAGAAATACCATGCCAAGGCTCCGAGTTTGTCTCCGTACTGCGGTGACTTTTCGGAAACTTCCCAACAGACTTATATAACCCTTCACGAACTGGAAATGTTGATGATAATAATTCAAACTAAATCCATGATCAGCTTCATACGAAAAGTCATACCCAGAACCTCTCACTTCATCAGAATGACTTCCTCAGACACTGCAAACGCCCTCAAGACTCTCAGAGAGCAATATGACAGCGCTACCATGGAAGCTCAGATGCTGTACGCTTCGAAAACCATGATGCCACACCTGATAAAGCCTCTTCCTACACAAATGGGGATATCCGAAAAGACTTCAACGCCTGTGAAGTTTCTGGATAATGCTTGTGGAAGTGGTGTCTTGACACATGCAGTCCAGCAGGTTTTGCCTAAGGATATCCTTGAGAAGAGCACATTCTTATGTGCTGATGCTTCGGATGGTATGGTTATTGTGGCTAAGAAGAGACTTGATACAGAAGGATGGGTTAACACAGAGGTTAAGAAACTTGATGCGACGGTGAGTTGACTTACACCATGAATCGTCAGACACTGACGATGTATACAGAACACTGGACTCCCTGAGAAATCCTTCACGCATGTTGGCCTTGGTCTAGCACTCCATGTTATCCCTGATCCAAATGCTGTCTTAGCTGGTAAGTCTCTTTCGTGAACTCCTCATAACAAAACTAACACGTCCAGATGCCAAACGCATCCTCAAGTCAGGAGGCATCTTCGGCGCAACTACATTCCACAAAGACAACACATTCTGGCTACCCGACATACGAACAGCATTCGCGTCATTCCCCTTCGAAGCCAAACTACCTGAAGTCATGAAGATGCAAATGCACGATCAAGGCGACTGGGCAAACCCCGCATGGATCGAAGAAGACTTAAAGAAAGAGGGGTTTCAAGATGTGAAAGTGACTGCTCATGACGACAGTCACACTATAGAAAGTGCAGAGGACTATATATTGCAGTTTGGCATGATGCTGGGTTGGTTGATGAAGACTTGGTGGAGTGAGGAAGTGCAGAGGGAGCATCCGCTGGAGGAGGTTAAAGAATTATTGAGGAAGCATTTGGTAGAGAAACATGGGGGAAAGGGATGGGATATTGAGTTCAAGGTGATTTGTATGACTGGGAGAGTTGAGTAACTCAGTCTGAGGTGGAGGAGAACAGAAGCTTGGTACTTCGTATCGATTCCCAAACTCATGGTAACTTGACGACTTGAAATAAGAGGTAGATTGGTTGTTCACCAGTCAATGGTAAGAGTAGCTACAGAGTTCCAGTGACAGGCTAGTATCAGAAATAAACAAGTAGTATTGTGACAGTTAAGACAACTTAGCAAAGTAGCCACCCTCTAATACACATTTTATATAATACATTATTAAATGTATACAAAACGAACGACGCTGTATCTTCTAGAATACATTAAAATGACCGTTTTTACCCTCCAACCCCATCTAACCCTTCTAGTTATCGCACTCCCCAGAATACCTCCCCATCTATAAAGAATGACCTCCCCCATTTGTATCTTCATCCCCGACCTGGACTGAAATACAGAATGTTCTCCCCTTTTATTTTGTAACCATACCCCGACAGCGGTAGTATGGCCGACCAACCCAAGCGAGGTTTGTGTAGTTGAAGTGTTCTCGCGAACAGTTGGTCTGGAACGTGGTACCCAGCGAAGCGGTTTTCGTGTATGTTTTTTTACTCATTATGCTTGCTTGTGCTGGGTTAAAGACTCACGCTTGAAGCGTGGTGAAACGTATTTGATATCATTGTTCATGATTCATTGCGTTGGTGGGTTGTAGGAGACCAGCTCCTGGACAGAGGAAAGGAAAGGCGTCGTAGAGTGTTTCAAGTCATAGTGAATTAGAAGTTGTAAGCGTAAATTCGTAGAGACGAGTTGTGCTATACAAAATATATTGTTTGGCGTTTGAGAGCTGCTTTATAAAATACTGCTCCCCATACTAAGAAACAAAAGATTGTTGGAGTCTGCCTCGACAACAACACCACAACCTCCCCAATCTTTTATATCCAAAATCCCTCGCCCCCCAAAACAATCCCCCAAGCCCGCTCCAGACGCAGTGAGGCCCTTTTGCTACGGCTCGTTTTCAAGCGTGGCGTGTCACCCTTCGCCCTGGTCCTCTTCCACCCAAAACAAAGTGAGGCGAGCAACCATGCAGGCCTCACGCACCAATACCACCTCCCACCGCCTCCAAGTCTCACTTCACAGGGCGAGCGGCATTGCAGAGTCAACGTAGCGCTGCATACACTGTCGTTGCCGTGTGCTACTGTACAGTACACCCATGCTGAATCACTAGAGTGCTGGTGATAATATCACTGGGATGTCGGCGACACCGCTCTGTTATTGAGACGTAGTCTGATATAGGTAGGTAGTAAACATATTCTCTTCGCTGTTGCATTTCTTTCCATTCTTTTCAAAGGGGCGCCGTTTTTTTATCAAACCCCCCATGTCTTGTTTAATAATTACATGTGTAAAAAAACTGAGAAAAAACCCTTTGGACCTGTACAGTACACAACGCACCCTCATGACAATTGGCGCCTATAGCATAGCATATCCATCATCCTTGACAAAAACATGTGGCCTGGCCGCGCACACCCCAACTACCAACTACCTACTCAAAGCTTCCCAATTCTCTAGACTCTAACCTGATTGATGCTTGCTTCCCATCCATTCTCATGGCCCTCAGCTCGCTACCTATGCAAATCTGAGGCTTCCCGTCGGAACCCGTTGTGACAATCCATCCACCTCTCTCTTCAGCAGCTTGAGAACTCGCCTGACATCAGCAAGGTCTGCACCGCCAGCGTTGTTTCCATGTCCCGGTGGTGGCAGGGCGGCGTCGCATCTCTTGAGGAGGTCGGCTACAGAGGGGCCAATGGCACCACCCTTTCCGGCACCTCCACGTCGACGGGCTTCAGCCACCCAGTCGTTGACCACATAAACGATAAGCTCAATCATGCGGTTTCGCACTGATCCACTGAAGCCGTAGTCTTGACTATCGAAAACGCCCTCCAGAACACGGACAATCATGTCATGGGAGACGCCCAACGTCAGGAATAGTTGGACGGGCCAGGTGGGATCAGCGCCGATTGTGGCATCTTGTTGGTAAGCCACTGCGTAACGGCAGAGCTCAGGAAGTAGGTCTTGGATGGGGAAGATGAAGCTGTCGAGGGATGTGCGGTGGGCGATGTTTTGGATCTTGCTAGTCACAGACTCGTAAGGCAATGGGGGCGATGGCATTCCTGGTTCTGAGTTCTCTAGGCGCGACATGACCTCATCGTGTGTCTGTTGAATCAGGTTACTCCATGTACCCGAAATGGTCATATGGTTGCGGTAATCAGCAACATGGTAGATGAGCAGGCAAAGGTCGTAGTAACCGGCTTGGTCGGCATAGTCGTTGAAGAGCTGCAGCATGTGAGTAATTGTCATTGGCTAAGAGAGAACAGTTGAAACCTACCTCGGAGAGTCCCTGAATCTTGCCCTTGAGAGCTTCCTCAATCTCGAGGGCCCTCTCAGGGTCAATACGGTCGTCAGCTCTCAAACGCTCCAGAAGATCATCCTGGATGTGGGCAATCTCAAGCAGCTCTGTGACACTGTGGTTCAGCAGCTGCTGTTGCTGTCGACTGACACCAGTCGTTGAAACGTTGGCATTCGCCTTGGCCAAGCTGAGCAATCTGATTCGGTCCTTGATACTGATGGGGAAATCGGAGTTGGCAAGCTCCGCCTGCACCTCGGCTGCATCAAAGAATCGGCTTCGGTTGGTGTAGAACCGGCAGAGCAGGTCAGCATGCTCTATGTTTGTGCCAGCAAGTCGCTGAAGGAAAGTAATAACGTGGGGTGAGTCGATAGCCAGAATTCGATCTGTCCAGCCTTGTTGGATGTACCATTCATAGAGGTCAAAGTGGAACACCTCGTCATCCGACCCGTTCACCACCTCGTAGGCCTCAAGCCTCTTGGTAGCAATCAATGTCAGCCTGCCATCGACCATTTCAGGCTCACTGCTTGACGCAGCGTCCAAGTGACTCAGAACGTCATGGATCATGTCGTAACAACGCTTGCGATCGTTGAAAGCATTGGCACGAGGGTCTCCAGAGGGCTTGCCGTCGTTGACCCAGGACAGAGCTGTGTTACCCCTGTCCTTCTCGCGGGCGACCACAAGGCAGAGCTGGATAGCACCGGCATAGTACTTGAGAGCGATATACTGTTCCACAGCACTCTGAAGGTTGGCAAAAGTGAGGCTACCAGCGACCTTCTCAAAGAGCCTCAAGCTCTCATGGAGTAAGCTTCGCGACTGGTTTGTCAGAAGAGGTTGGTCAGAAGCCCGCTTAAGCTGTTCCTGAGCCTTGAAAGTAACGACATCATCAGGGCTACAGAAGCTGCCGCATCTCCTTCGAAGGGCGTCAGCAACAGTTTCAACGTTGGAGCCACTCTCGATATTGCGGTTAACAATGGCCTTAACGAGCAGCTTGGCAAGGTCCTTGCCGTCAGTTTGAGAAAAGAGCTTCTCGTATGTCAGCTCCTTGAGTTGTTGTTGAGCTGTAGCATCGAGGCGAGTGTAGATATCAGCAACCCGCTCATCGAATAGCATAAGCACAAACGAAATACCCTCCGAAATGCTCTCCATTAACTTCTGAAGAGCATGAAGAGCTTGATGTTCGGCCTGAAGAGCAACTTCCTCCTGACGACTCGACACATGCTGGAGATCAGACGGACCAGACAAGCCTTGAATGAGGCCACGGTTGGTATCGAGGAACCTCCTTAAGCGCTCCAAGTTCTCCTGAACAGTATTCAACTTGGAAAGGGGGATTGTGGAACCAATGGTGATACCACCGTTAGCAGAAACACCAGGAGCAATAACAACTGACTTCCACAACTGGCGTACCAGTCGGGAAAGATACAGAGCTAGAGCGTCATGTCGAGAAGAGAGGTTAATGGAATCGGTTGTGAGGGATGAGCTGTCAGTTTCAGCCATCGTTGGCTGCCCACCAAAGTCGACAAAGACGGATCGTGCCCGATCCTCAGTTGCCTGATCGATAGCACGAGCTGCACCAGGTTTAGAGTCACCTCCGTGACCACAAGCAACAGCCAGAGCGGTAGTAACAGTCTCCACGCGGCCGTAATTATTAATAAAGCGGCGGCAGACCAGTTCCAACCCCTCGTCTCCAACAGCACCTCGAATAGCAGAAGCAAAGATATCCACAAAACGCCTTCGTCGAACGATGTGTACACCAGTGTTGGTGAGAATGGCGAACTCGCTAGGCGCATCGTCGAATTGCACAGCCAATTCATTACCGAAACCAAGTGGTTGTGGTGCCGCTGCGAACGGTTTTGTGATTAATCCAACAGCTTCAGCTCGGCTGCCAATGTCGATCCAGCTAGCAGATTCATGATATTTGAAAGGAGATGTCGGGGACGTGTTCTTAAGACGTCCCGTCTCAGGTCCAGACACAAAGAGGGTATCCTCGTTGGGATTAGATTCTTTGCTCACAAAATCCAAGAAATATCCAGGGGCAAATCGAGCACCTTGTCGGCTGTAAGACAGTGAGGTGGATTCAAAATCAGTGATCGACTCGCCCCCAGGGTAAGTAGATCGACGAGAGGTTTGGCCAGGCGGAAACTTGATGAACTGGACCTGCATACTCTGGGGTGCCAGGTTTGTCGAGGAACCGTAAATGTAGGATGCAGCACTGGTCGCACTGAAGAATAGACGGCATCCAGTGTTTGTCAGAGCCATCAGGTGAAGCTTGGCCGCTTCCTGCTTAGAGATAGGGCTGATCGAGACAATACTCACTTGGTCACTCAACAACCTAGATTGGTTGATCATGTGGCCAATGTCGCGAAGACAGTGGAGCTTCTCCTTCTCAATAACCTTGTTCAGTCGGTCGGGGCCTTCCATATGGTATGTTCGAATGGTCGATCGGCTCGAGAGGGTATAGACGAGGTTTCTCGAATCGTCGATCACGATATCAACAAGGTGTTCGGGAGTCTTGTGAGACCAGAATCCACCTTGTAGGGTGACAACTGAGGACCAGCCGGGATTCGTATGGTTGATCTTACCGCACCTATTTGAAAACCACTTTTCCTCAGATTGATAGTAAAGTTCATTAATGTCGATATCGTTGCTTCCTCCAAAGAAGATTCGGCCGTTGGCAGATCCAGTGATAACACGAACGTCGGTACCACGCAGGGGGAGCTGCATTTTCGTTTGGTAAAGAGATACTGTCTTGGAGCCTGAAGGGGTAGCGGTGGCCGAGACACCTAGCAAAACAATGTCCGAAGAAGTCGCAACGACGAGGATATGTGTGATGGTGTTTACGAAAATGCCTGGTTTAGGAGGCACGAGCGCGACGGCTTGGATAGTATGCGGTTGGTCCTCGAACCCGATCAGCTCGGGGTCAGGGTGTGTGTAGTCCCATAGAAACAGCGAGTTATCAATAACGACCCAGGCGTGGTTGATCTCAGCAAAGAGTCCCATCAGAGTCTGAAGCTCGCCAGCATTGTAATGGTCGAAGACTTGGTTCGGAATGGGGTACATCTGAGTTTTGTGGAAGGGGGCCATCGCAGAATCGGTATTTTCAAGGTCGTAGTCGGACGACGCGCCCTCTGATGTTTGTTAGCTGATTCCTTCACATCCAAGCTCTTAAACCTACGTCGACAGTATGAATCTAAGTCGGGATATCGGCCATCAGACTGGAGACAGGCGTTGATAGCCCTGGCCGCCTTGACAACGGGGGGGACATTTTCGGTTCGAAGAGGTGGCAGCGCAGTAGGGACAATCAAATTATCGTTACTAGCTGTCCTTGGTGCAGATGGCGCAGTAGCTGCGACACTTCGCGATGACGAGACAGACGCCGAGCTCTTATGCGAGACGGCCTGGTTGCTATCGTTGCCGGTGAAGAGCTGTCGGCGCACAGAATCAGAGCCCGGCTGAAACCTCGAGGCGACGGCCGGCGTATTCAAGAAGGCGCCTGGAACTGGCCGGACCGGAGTTGTTTGTGGAAACGACATTATGGGCAGTAATATCGAAGCCCTTGGCGGGCCTGCGTAGCTTCACCAGTTTCGTTGCTATACCGCTGTAGGCAGATCGCGGATCATCAAAAGCGACGGGACTCAAGGCGCGTGGATGGAATTGCGATCAGTATCCCAGTCCCTCGTAGTCGCGTGGTAAACCTCGTGGGGGGTTTTCGCTTTCGTCGCGTGGTCGTCGGGTTTGAGATAGAGTCTATAGCGAGAGAAGTACGCTTTGAAGGTGATAAACAATTTGACGAGAGCTTGGGGAGGCTGGATATGGAGCACGGATTTTTCGCGACTGGGGCGTGACACTAGGACCGTTTTGGTGCAAGGCTGAGAACAGAGTAACCACGCGTCAGGGAAGCTCAAATCACTGAGAATAGATGTTATAAAAATAAAATGAAGCTGGAGACATTGGAGTTTTTTACTCATTGATTATAGTTACATGTTTTTAGCCATGGTTTAACGAGCAAGATGCATTGGTCTGGAAGCACGCAGGTTCTTTGATCCACCTCTCTGCTCTAGACTACTTAGACAAATCCACACCAGAATATGTTAATTTGTTGCTGGGCAAACACAGGTAGCTCAGGTAGCACAATGCACAGGTCTCTTTGTTCTGCAAGCCAACGTTGCCATATATGCACGGCAAATATGAAGAAATGTCTGAGGTTACTCATTCTTCACTTCACGGGCTCTGAGGCGGCTGCATAATTTGTAGTACATTACGGTTGTCATACCACTATCAGCTGAGTTGACCTCCACAGCTGTTATATTCCTCCTTTTCAATTATGTTCCGAGTATCTTGCATGTTTCCTACTTCTTTTCCCCTATTTTGGTCCTTCATTTACTGCTTCTTAGCATCGCGAGCAGCCTTGCGGAGAGCTCGGCGTCGGATATCCTCATGCATCCTCTTGTTGAAGAAAATAGTGATAGGACCATTGGCACCAGGAATGTTCTCAATGAACCACAGCATGAAAGCATGGCTCCACCAAGGGGTATAAGTGTTGGGAGCAGTCTGGTAACCACCAAGTCCAATCTTGCCGAGAGTAGCCTTGACAAAGTTGCGAGCGTTGGGGACAAGAAGACTAGGGCGGCGGACCTTGCTCATGGCGGTGGTGACAAGGTGGCTCAGGACAAGGTAGACATCAACATTGTGGTCTGCAAGCTCAGCGGAGAGAGCGTTGCTCCACTGCTGGAGGAAGGCCTTGCTGCCGGAGTATGTCGCCAAGAGAGGAGTAGGAGTCCAGCCACCGAAAGATCCCATGGTGAGGATAAGACCGCGCTTTCGCTGCTTCAGAATAGGAGCGACGACCTGAGTAACCCGGAGAGTACCAATGCAGTTGATGGTGACAATGTTTTGAAGCTCCTCCTTGGTGGTCTCGAGGAAAGAAACGGGGATGCTGTGGCTCTGGCCAACGTTGTTGATGAGGATACCAACATCAAGACCAGAAATCAGCTCGCTCAATCGCTCGTAGTCGGCATCGTTGTTCTGGGAGAAGTCCATGTCAAGGACCTTGACTTGCAGGCCCTTTCCAGGGTACTTCTGTTGAATCTCGGCGGAGAGGCTCTCGAGCTTGGAGAGGGTTCGGGAAACGAGGACGAGGTTGAAGTCCTTGGCAGCGAGCTGCAGAGCATATTCCTTACCGAGGCCATCAGAGGCACCGGTGATGACGGCCCAGGTACCAGGCTTTCCATACTTGTGGAGCTGTAGACGTAAAAATTAGTATAGCTCAATTGGAGGTTCAAAGCACACACGTTGGTGCCTCCAAGCACGAAAGCGCTGAGGACAAGCTGGAGATAGCTCAGGATCTTGGATCCCAAGAAGAGAGCACCAATACCAGCAAGACCCCACTGAAGAGGCTGCGGTATATTATGGAGGAATTTTGTAACGGCGTCCATATTTGAAGAGTGCAACAAAAATAAGCTGCCTGTATGAAGAGGAGGAGGAAGAAAGGAAGAAAAGGCGACAATCACAAGATAAGTACACTGCCCCTCGGCTCTTGAATTGGGTCTGGCTCTCAGGCCCGGACAATTAATTGAATTGAATTTTTAGGTGGTATTACCCCTGACGTTGTTGAGTTGGTCCAAGCTTCTCCGGTCTTTGGTCCCCGATTACAGGTCCCTCTCTCCCACCAAAAACAGGCCATCCAGCTCGTCTTACACCAATCTCAACCCGCCATTTAACTTCTACAACTGCATTGCAATAATAGTTGTTGAGATTCTCTGATTACCGCTTACTCAATCCAATTTGGTGTCAATTCTGTCGAAATGGATATCGTCAAGTCTATCCTCCCCGAAGCAAAGGGTGTTCTACCCTACTACATGATCATCGTAAGAGCCACTCCCCCTACACCCAAGAACCAAATAAGATGCTGACCCCTCGCTCTAGCTGTCCATCATTTCGATCGGAAACTCGCTGCAGACGTATACAACCCTACACTTCTCCCGACGAGTCTACAACGGCAAATTCATCCGCAACCCCAAGCTCCCCTCCAAGACCGACAAGTTCGAGCCAGAGGATCAGATCAACAAGCTGGTTCCTGCTCAGAACGACCCCAAGGCTACCGATCAGCTTACTCCCCTTGCTGGAAGACTTTTCGGTACCTGGACTCTCATCACTTGCGTTGTTCGATGCTACGCAGCTTATAACCTCCACATTGGTCCTGTTTACACCATTGCTTACTGGACTTACATTGTCGCCTTGGGACATTTTGCCAGTGAGCTCTTTGTTTTCAAGACCATGACTTTTGGTCTTCCTCAGTACTTCCCTTTCACTCTGGCTTCCATCTCTCTTATCTGGATGCCTCTTGTCCGTGACTACTATGTCGAGTACAACTAAATCAGGCGATAAGTGGTGAGACTGGTGAGTGGCGGTGAATGTAATATACACATGGCAGGAAAAGACCAGATGCCATTGGAATCGGGATAGCGGCAACTAAGTTTTAGATAAAAGTCTAGATTTTAATGTTTTAATGCTCGGGCTCTTTGCCTATAGATTCTTGCGATATAGCTCTCCTCCACAATTCCTCAAACGAACTGTGGCCTGCTCAGGAGTAATATCACGCTGAGGCTCTGCCAGTAGCTCATATCCAACGAGGAACTTCTTGACGGTGGCTGAACGCAGCAGAGGTGGGTAAAAGTGCATGTGGAAGTATGCGCTTTCTAACTCCTCTGGTGTTCCGTCAAGCGGCGCCTGGTGAAGACCAGAACTGTAGGGAAAGTTGCATTCGAACAAGTTATCGTATCGTCGGGTGACTTCTTGGATGGCTTCGGCAAATTGCAGTCGCTCCTCGGGCTTGAAATCGAGAAGAGATCGGATGTGTCTCTTGGGAAGAACGAGGACCTCGAATGGCCATACAGCCCACCAGGGGCATACAATCACAAAAGCATCGTTCTCCCAGACAACTCGTTCTTGCTTCTCGAGTTCAAGCTTAACATAGTCGCCTAGGAGGTGTCGGCCGCCGTGTTGGTCTCGGTACTTGCCCATTTGCACGAGCTCCTTGCCTGGCTCTTCAGGCATGGTTGAAGTGGTCCAGACCTGGCAATGAGGATGAGGGTTAGAACAGCCCATAGCAGCGCCCTTGTTCTCAAAGATCTGCATATATCTATACTGCTCCTCAGGAGAAGGTGCAGCGTCCTTTGGCATAGAAATGGCCAGCTTGTCGGCTTCAGCGGCCCGGGGGTTTGATGATGTCAGATGATTGGCGTAGATTCGAGTCCAATGCTCAATGACGGGAACAATCTCCTCAGCTGTCATGTCTGCAAGTGTAACATGGTGCTTGGGTGAGAAAGTGAGCACGTAACACACGCCCTTGACACCCTGAGCTTGAAGGAGAAGAGATTCCAGGTCGTTGGATGAGGCTTTCGCATCATAATCTGGCTGCTCTTGCTTGACGGCGCTGTAGTCGTTTACAAAGGCAAAAGTCTTTTCGTAATTCGGATTTTGGTCGCCAGCGGCTCGTGGGTTACCGGGACAGAGATAACACTGGTTTTGTCAGGGGATTGAGGTGTTATGATGTGATGTCATGAGCGTACTTTAGGGTCATATTCTGGAAGTTTTGATGCGACAGCAGCCTCTTGCTGGCCTCTATTTCATGTCAGACCATCCCTAATTAAAGCATGAGAAACTCACTGCCAAGGTCGCTTCGTGCGATGAGGTGATATAAGCAGCCATGAGTCCGTGAGGGGATTGTATCGACGGTGAGAAATATCGTCAAGAATTTGATCAGGCATGATGATAGTGGGGTGACAATTTAAAGTGAATGAGGGGTTGATGAGAGACAATGAATATTTAGAGAAGGGTTCAGCTTTAATTTATTACTGCTAGAAGCCGAGGCTAGCGATAGACGATACAAGATAAATAGCCAACTAACAGAGACTCCCCGGGGATTCTGAATGGCGCGGTTCAACGGTGATATTCTCGGCTGTGTTTTCGGGGGAGTCTTTTTCCCAAACCAGATGCCCCCAATATTGAATCTCCACAGTTTGGACACCAGTCATCAAGGAGTAACTTATAGTAAGAATGCTTCAGACCTTGTCAAAGAATGTCAACAGAAGTTCATATAAGAGAACCCTAGAATTGTAGCAACTTACATGAGTCTTGATGTGACTTTGTCCCAAGTTTTATGGTCTGAATGGCGGTCGGATCATTCTTGAGAACCAGCATCTTTTGGCATCTGCCTCATCTTCTTTAATCGCACTTAGATACATGTATCTGAGCATTTCCTGCTGGGATGGGTATTGGCCGGTAAGTTTAGGGTCCGCTGGTGGTGCTAATGGCTTTGGAGGCGGTGGTGGACGAGATATTCGTGAGGGACGAAAGAAGCGAGAGAGTCTTGAAAATATTGCCATGTTCGAAGTATATCGAGAGTCAGGATGGCGAGGAAGGCAGTAAGTGATTAAACGAGCTGATATAGTTGTTATATGCATTCATGCTTTAGACATTGTTATGCAATGCGTAAACTTTGGGCTAGATGTGTCATTTGCAGGATATCTGTGGCTCAGAGTTTATATCACGATTCACCACACAGAACTCAACGTCCCTTCATAAACCTTTGGAGTGAAGCATGAGTTTGTCACTTCCAGGCTGTGGAGATTCAATAATAGCGTCACGCTTGTACCGAGTGTCTAGATGCCAGAAGACTTAGAACCTCACATTAAACGAGAAAATAAACAAAATAAGTCATATACTGTAACTAAGCCGTTGCTAGGTTATCCTAAAATATCCTAATATTGTCTAAACTTCTCTGTTGCTTCTTTTAGGACTCGAGTCTGAAGGTTTCTGCCATCCCCACGTCACTTGCCAATAGCGGGGATATGCGGCCCGGGGAGTATTCTTCCACGTGACTTGTGATAGATGATTCTAGCGTGGGGTTGCTGCTAGCGGCTACTGGCTACTGGCTCCCCATTCGAAACAACCTAATCCGCGCCCTGCAATGGAGCTCAAGTCCAGTGCACTTCAGCCCCAGACCAGCTCCTGTCAGAGCAAGCGTAGACGCCATAATCAACAACATCCGCCCCTCGACAAATCGACTCATCACCGATTCCATCAACAACCACCTCGAACCGGCATTTTCCATCGAATTTCGCGTCGCGTCATTGTCCCCAACAATCGCGCATCACCAAAAATCTTCTTTTGCACTTCCACCGCGCCTTGCGCTGCATCGAACCCGTTGCTACTTCTAGACAGGGGGGGTAACGACGAACCTCCCGGCCCGACATCGCAGCCGGCGATATGGGTGTGATACGCAAGAAAACAATTACAAGAGGTGGTGAAGGCGGTGTTAAGTACGTTTGCGATGTGTGCTCATCAGATATCACATCTACGGTAAGTCTATTTGCTGTGTTGCCTGTTGCCTGGAGCTTGTTTGGAACCGTAAAGACGCGCTTCGGAGATATACCGGTTAAACCCAATTCGATGTCATGATGGGGTTGCTAATCATGTTGGTGTTGATACAGGTCCGCATCCGATGCGCCGACTCCGACTGCAGTGACTTCGATCTCTGCGTCTCGTGTTTCGCCAAAGGTGAATCGCGAAATGCTCACAACCCTGCGACACACGCTTTTCGTGTGATTGAACAAAACTCATTCCCCATTTTTGATCGAGAATGGGGCGCCGACGAAGAATTACTCCTCCTCGAGGGTGCTGAAATATATGGTCTCGGCTCATGGGCCGATATCGCAGATCATATCGGCGGCTTCCGTGAGAAGGACGAGGTTCGCGATCATTACTTATCGACTTACGTCGACTCGTCTCACTTTCCACTCCCCGAACGCTGTAGCCCTCACGATTGCGAATTGGCCAATGAAATACCCAGAGAAGAATTCCAAGCACGCAAGAAGCGAAGAATAGAAGAGCGACGAGATGCAGCTAAGAACGCGCCCGCTCTACAGCCAAAAACAAAACCAACTGCCAGTGTGCCTAGCTGTCACGAGATTCAAGGATACATGCCTGGTCGTTTGGAATTCGAGACCGAATATGCAAATGAGGCAGAAGAAGCTGTCCAATTAATGCAGTTCGATCCAGGTGATGGATTGAACCCCAGGACAGGCGAGCTTGAACCTGAAATGGAGCTCAAGCTTACAGTGATGGATATTTACAACGCTCGATTGACACAACGTGTAGAGCGTAAGAAGGTTATCTTTGAGCACAACCTTCTTGAATATAGAGAGAACACAAAGCTGGAGAAGAGGCGGACCAAAGAAGAAAGGGATTTGCTCCAGAAGGCCAAACCATTCGCCCGCATGATGAACCAGCAGGACTTTGAGGAGCTCAATCAAGGTCTTCTCGATGAACTTAACCTACGACAAGCCATTACGCAGCTACAGGAGTGGCGCAACATGCGTATCGGCGACCTTCGAAGCGGCGAAAAGTACGAGAACGAGAAAGCTTCGAGGATCCAGAAGGCAATCCCCATGGGATCCATGGATCGTGAGCGACTGGCATCTGCACAGAGGTCTAAGCAACCTCCTCCTCCCGAACCACCAAGTGGATCTGCTCTTCTCATCGCCCCTGAACTTCCTGCTCGACTACTATCAACTCCTGCTGCGGAAGTCAATGGCGATGCAAAGCCATTAACAAATGGCCATACCGAAGGTCTAACAAATGGCCAGACAAACGGCCAGGTCAATGGAGTGACCAATGGAGTTAACGGGGTCAATGGAGTAAATGGCCATGCAGCTCCTAAGCAGAGATACACGGCCCAACCCATCTCCGGCGTACAACCAATGCCCATGACCCAAGACACAGCCCCAGACTTGCACCTCCTCACACCAGAAGAGGTCAAGCTTTGCGAAGTCATCCGACTACAGCCCAAGCCATATCTCATGATCAAGGAGCAGATCCTCAAGGAAGCTCTCAAGACAAATGGCACGTTGAAGAAGAAGCAGGCCAAAGAGATCTGTAGGCTGGACTCGCAAAAGGGAGGACGTATATTCGATTTCTTTATTAATTCAGGATGGGTGGGCAAGGCGTGATCTGGTTGTTTACTGTTTATAATACCCTTTTTGAAGACGAGGAATGGAAATTGGCGCTGAGCGTTTGCTGGAAATTATGTAGTATATGTTACGCTTCTGTGGATAGATGTCACCGATACAATGTTACAAAAATTAGCTACTCATTTTCGAGGCTTCAATTAGATGCTATTGCACTTGTCTACAGTTGACCGGTTATGAGGCTTCGCCCCTGACGATGTAAATACTTGGCAAGTTTGGGATGTTTTAGTATTTATCTCACGGGTAGTCTAAAATTTCCACCAGTTCATCGTTTTGTGTATTGAATTTATCCATTGGACTAGTATTAAAGTGATTTGTCTAGCTCCTGACTCTCATCTGCCTCTGATCCAAGTCAATTGCAACTTAGCTAAGATCAAGTCGACTTTCCAACTTATAGTGTGTTTCTTCAAATACAACTGCATCATATGCAATGCCTGGTGCACCCCTTGGCATCTGGTGAGTAGCAGCATGGTCCAACTGATGTGTATCAGAATCCTCGACAATACGGAGGTGGCGGTACGCGAGGATGGTTCCCAACTTTCGAGCTCTCGGTGGTCCTATCGGAACGTTCGCTGATGCTTCCTTGTTCAAGATCCGGCTCGTATGCTTGGGGACGCGGAGGCAGGGGGGCCGGGGGTGCAACGCCTATAGGCCCAGGGTACAACGGGTACATGGGCTCAGGGGATAGAGGTTCTTCCCTTGGAGGTCCTGGTGGTGTTGGACGCGAACGTGGTAGACATAGCACATATCGACAAGCCGAGCAACATATGAGGAGCATGAGGCAAGCACCAAACGCGGCCACAAGAGGCAAGAAAATGAAGAAAACAACGGACACTCCTGAAGAGTCATCATTGGACTGGTTTGGCTGATAGTCTGTAGGGACAGGGACGTTCATGCTGGGAATCTTTTGGTCCCGTGATTGATGAAGTGATAAGGGAAGGAAGAGGATAAATTATGAGTGTTATCAAGTTTTTTTGAGCTGCAGTATATCAGATACTGTTGGCAGGATGTTTGATTGAGTGAATATTGACTGTGAAGTTGTTTGGTAATGAGCCAGCCGAAAGTTGAGTTTGGAAGAAAAGGGGGGGAAAGTATTTGCGGATTACCTTGACGATATATGTCGTGGATTCGAATGACTCGGTGAGAAAGTGACGAGAGTTTCAATTTGAGGCTGGCAAGCAACAATATGAGGCTTCTATTGACCCGAGGTGCATGTGGCTGAAGTGAGAAGATAGAGTTCCAAGGCCTGGTCACGCACAGCAAAGCCCAAGCCCCGAAGTCTGATGAGATAATGGGCTTGGACACCTCATCCTCGCGATGGCTGCTTGAAATTTGCCTTGTATGCTGGGGTATAGGAAGGCGGAGGAGTGCCGATAGGTTTGTAATCCGGAAGCTCAGTATCTTGAGATCCACGAGATCTTCGAGATCCGCGAAGGGAAGTTGAAGTGTAAGACGGCGCAGGTTGTTGGGGAGGATTGACGAAAATGCTTTCATAGTTTTCCTCCCGATTTACCACGATGTCTCCTTGCTCTTCATCCAGAGTATCCATCTGTTTTTTCGATTGGAAGCCATAGGCCAGCAAAAAGCAAAACCAGTAAACGACGCCTAAGACAACGATGAGCATAAACATCCCTAGCATTACCGTATCTAAGGTGTAAGCCATGATGTCGAGTTCGATTGAGAATAGAGGCGTTTTTTCGTGGATGCGAGTCGAGGCGTAATAGAAAAGGGGGGAAAGAAATGATACTGTCATGGATTGTACGTCTGATTCTCTTATATAACCCGAGTTACCACTCGAAGTTAATGTTGGTATTTGAGTTACTTGACTGAAGATAATTCTCACAAGAAGATGAGTTTAAGTTTCTAAAGCTTTTATTTTCTAGTCCTCGCACATTTCTAACTTCTATTTTCTAGCATAGAGTTTTGACTGCCTAGTTCCTTCCAATCACGAAGCCATGAACAAGTGTTTGTGCAAAGTTATTCCCAAGCTTACCCAGTCACAGCGAAGAAAGCAAACCCTCTTCCAGCTGATGACCAGATGATCAAATCGCGCGAATCTTCGGCTATGGGCATTTCATAGGGTAGACCCTAGCAGAGCATAGTTCTCCTGGTCAGATGGGAATGGAGTGTTGAAGGGCCAGACGAGCAGGCCGAGGGTAAGTAAGAGGTGAGCAGTCGGATGAATCCAAACGGCCCTCTTCAGCAGCCTTTTCGTCTGATCGAACATACGATGGAACTTTCCAATCTGCCACGACCTCCCGGAGCAAAACGAGATGGCTCGCTTCGAACGCGCCTGGGTGTCCCTTCAAGTGACGAATCGCATTCTCGAGATCTACACTGTCAGACTTCTTGACCCATTTCCACCCATATCTTCGACCTATGCGCCTCAAGAAGCTTCCTGAACCCTGCATGAGAAGGAGACATCCACTAAGGAAGCCTCCCAGAAGGAGTATGATGAGAAAGACAAGGAGACCCTTTTCATTGGCAGACGCATCTTCTAAAGACGGGCAGGCCTGAACGCCGGTTCTGTCAGGAGAAGAGAGACGGAAAGTGTTGGTGAGTTTGACGACAACAACGGTAGGGAGACGACTGGGGCGCACAGCTTCGGTGGGTGAAGGGAACTTGTCACCAGCTGGGGGGTCACTGTGACTAGGCTTCAACTTGTTGTCTCCCTTTGTGGCTGGCTCATCTCTCAGAGATGGTCTCTTGTGGGTGAATGGGGTCTTGGTGGGAAGAGGAGGACGAGACTGGGTTGGGATAGAGTCAAGAAGACTGGCAAGACTGGCAGAGTATCAACCAGAGGCCGCCCCTGAAGGTTGTTCGGATCAAGCATTTCGAAGGATAAAGGTTTGGAGAGAGGTTTGAAAAGAGATTAATATGTCGAGCGGACTCGGAGAACCGACTTGACAAGTGTTTGAGTGTTGGGGAGGTAAAATATGGACATTTCATCCTAGAAGGCATCTTTTTATAATGCTCGGGTGTAAGTTTTGATCAAAGTTCCCTTGTTTGCGCTGCCTTATTCCATTAACCTATTATTGAGGAGTAGCTCACGGCTGTGTTTAAAGTTGGGTTCTCAAGTTCTCCAAAGCTTCAATACGCCTTGAGAGTTTCGAAGAAACTATATAAGTCCCTCCGGCTGACCCAGGAGACTTTGAGTCATCGAGTTCCACGAAATTCTCCCTCCAAATCAGTTATACTTTTCGAATTTCGATCAAAAGCTCCCTTACCTCGATCATACCAATATTCAGGCTGTTCCAAATCCAACCACAACTCTTATTCTCTTTAATCCACCGAAGATCATCAGAGCATCCAACCTCTCACCAATCATCCACTACCATCACCATGGCACCCTTGCCAGACAAAATCAACCCCCGTAGCTGGCATCAAATCCTCGCTCGACAAGATGAGGGGAGTGACTACTACCATCCACATCCCTCCGACGGCGAATATGGCGTAGCCGATCACTCAACCGGACTCACCTGGTGGTCGGACCCAGAGACCACGCAACAACGCATCGCGGTCTTCGCGATAGTGACGGGCGTTCTTGTTGCAATCATCTTTGTTCTGTTCTTCAAAATTCGCAGGCTGAAAAGGATGGTACCAATGGTTTAAGCTGATTGGCGATCGTGGTATTTCTGTAAGTGGACTCTTCTTCACAGTCTGTGTGTTATTGGGCTAATATCTTCTTAGGTCAGACGTGATGCGGAATGGGGTCATCTTCTCTCTGTCTGATGACGGATATACATCACCTCATCACAGTACCATATTGTTTAGAGATTATCTTTGGGTTGCTCTCACTCCCTTTGCCTGGTCCAGTTCTCGAAAAAGTCTTGTTCAAAACATAGTGGGAAGCATGAGATGGAAGTAGGGGTTCTATCGAAAGGCTCAACTCTAGCTCTCTAGCTCTGAATAAATTAATAATTATCCCATAAATCCTTAACGTATCCCTCCGTCAATCGTTCATCCTCTCCGTAAACCTCTTGCCATCCTGAAAATCCCCTATCCAACACATAAACATCCTGACCGTTGTCTCCCTTTGGGTCTTCACCCATAGACTTCAAAAGACCATCCCTCTCACGCAGATACTTTAGTGCCGCACTCGGACCCCGCTGTTGACTCAGTGCGCAGTGAAAGACAACTGTCTTTTTGTCTTTCAGACGACGGACCAGAGTTGGCATCATGGCGTCGAGAGTATGTGCGGGGATATTTGTTGAGCCCTTGATATGTCCACCAATGTAATCTTGAAAAGTCAGTTGAGGTTGTCACAGAATCAAATGGAACCGAGAAGAAGTCTTCTTTTCGGAAAAAGAGTTTGAATGCCAACTCACCATTATCACGAACATCGATAACAGCAAATGTGGGATCTGTGGCGTTGACTTCCTCGAGGATCTTCTCGGAGAGGGATTTGGCTGAGAGCCGCTTGAGTGAAGCGATTGTTGTCATTGGGCGAGCCTGTGTACGAAAAGGCGCGGCTATTCTTTGCAAGATTCGCATGCGGGAGTGAGTGTTGAGTACTTGGAGAAAGGTACCCGAAATGGATCAAGATGAGGCTCATCTCATGTAGATCTGACTGAGGCGGAGCTAAATTTACTTTTTGGTCCTTGGCGGCGGAACCCCACGTGCGTGACCAATTCTCAGAGAACAAGAAAACATCAAACTTTGATAGGACGTGAAAACAAACTCAATAAATGATATTCTAAACTTATGCCAAGGTACCTAAATCTTGTTATCATTTAGGGCCGAGTTCCTGGGTTTTCTTTCCTCCCATGGCAAATATCGGTGTTAGTGATGGGTTGCGAATCAAAGATGGACAATCATTGGCTCTGAAGAGCAAAACATGGGGAGCAAAACCTATCAAGTTGATTGGGACATACTGTTATTCAATTACAAATGTCCCGATGTGATAAGCTTTATAGTAAAACCGGCTTGGCCTTGCAGAGGGTTTGCTTGTATCAGGAAGACACAGTCTAAGGTCCACGGCTTCCAGGATTAGCAGCAAGACTTCCCCATAAGTCAATTAGTTCAGCACCCCTATCTCGCATAGGAATATATAGTACATAGCGTCATCATACTATTCAAGGACGACAGCTCCCTTTAGAACTGAAATCCACAACATGGCAAGCAAGAAAAGTTCACTGTTTACCGTGTAAGTGATTGTGGTGTCGTTACCCTGTAGCGACACCAAGACAGACAAGATCCCAGCTCCTATCCCTGTAAAATGACATATGACGCACCAAACGACAGGGGCTATTAGCTGACAATTGATCAATTCCACACTGGCACAAACCTGGACTACAAACCCACCAAATTACATAGACTAAGAAACTATCCGCTCAACCAAACATTCTTCTGTTGTTCTGGGCTCTAGACTGTTTGTTTTCATGACCCCTTTGTCAATTGTACGCTTGTTATGACCATCTCTGTTTGTATGCGACTGCCGCAAACGATTCGTACCGTAAAGACTACTGTCAACTCCCTACGACCACTTTCTTTACCTTGCACCAGCAACTCAACATCTACCCCGCGACATTACAGACTGTACTCTACTGCAAAGATGGGCTCGCAACCGGAGAAGAAGAATGGGCGCGTAGATCTTCGCCCTGAGGAAGTAATTGGAGATCTGGGTTTCACGCCCATGGTCAAGGTCGCCGACCCATGGACTGTTGACAAGGTGGTCAAGGAGATTCCTGGTGGTGCGCCTACTGAGGAGTCCTCTTCGCCGCTCCCTTTCTTCCACATGCTTGAGCGACTCAAGACTACCAAGCGAGAAGGATGGAGGCGATTCGGTATCTCTAGGTAAGAAAATTAGTCTCCTAACGTCAAGACGTCACTAACATGCGACAGGGGAGAGTCTATCGCCGACCACATGTATCGCATGTCTCTGATCTCTATGTTTGCGCCTCCCTCTCTCGCCCCGAAACTCGACCTTCCCAAGTGCATGAAGATGTGTCTTATCCACGACATGGCGGAGCTTCTTGTCGGCGACATCACACCCGTCGACGGTGTTCCCAAGCCCGAGAAGAGCCGACGCGAAGCAGAGACAATGGACTTTTTGACCAAGAACTTGCTACGAAACGTCGCTGGCGGCACCACAGGCGAGGACATCCGCGCAATCTGGCAGGAATACGAGGACTCTGAGACACTAGACAGTCACTTCGTGCACGACGTGGACAAGATGGAGCTTCTGCTGCAGATGGTGGAGTATGAGAAGCGCGGTGAGGGCAAGGTCGATCTTGGCGAGTTTGCGTACGTCGCGACCAGAATGACGCTGCCGGAGATGAAGGCATGGGGCCAGGAGGTTCTTAAGGAGCGGGAGGCTTTCTGGGGAAGCAAGGAGCATGTTCACGGAGAGCAGGGTGTTAATGGAGGTGTTACGACTGAGCGAAAGGGCCAGCAGGACAACTACTACAACAAGGACTAAGTGATAGGATACGAATGTTTAGACTTAGGAGAGGGAAGGGCGAATGATACCAATGAGTTGAGGTCATGGCATATGGCATAGAAGAGTTTGGACGCAGGGTTTAGAGCGATTTACGCGATATGAGGCATAGACTGAATATAAGATAAGGCAACGATTCACGATAGTAAGGCATACTTGAACTCCATGAACCTCATCATTGTGATTTGTCTGAAGACCCCTGTGTTGATCATTAATCGCCTAGGACAACCAAGGATATTAGAGTAATTTAAGCAAGCCAATATCGCAATGCAAATGAGCCAGACGGTCTGATAACTGGTGTAGATAGGAGAGAAGGGATGGCTTTTGTCTTTTCGCAACTAGGTACGAGCTGTTCCTCTAATGTTCGCATTTTGATGCTCTTGGTTAGCTGAACCCTGCCGATCTCCATCAAGTGGACCAAACTCTTGGAATCAGCCACACAAGAAGAAGCTGGAGCTATAAGTCGGCAACAAACCCAAAGCTTCCCGTTCTCCGCATACCATTCCTGACGAAAGGGGATTGATTGCCTGCCCACCTGGACATGCGTCAGATACTGAGTCTTTTTGAAGTCTTATTCTCTCATCATACAGGTTACAGACTACAGAGCTGATTACAGAGCAACAGTGCTCTCTATCGCGGCTATTGAAGCAACTACCGGATCACTATCAACCGACCCGGACCAATCACACGTCGTCTCTAACGCTGGCCACAGGCGCTGGCCCCCCAACCATTGTTTACTTGCCCCGTCGACATTTTGCCGCCAGTGGAAGACCATCTCTCTAATCCAATACATCATTAATCCATAATCGAGCCTCACTTTCAAGGCGAGCATCTCCAAACACTGTGCGTGCATCTAAGGTGCCCTCCCCTCTCACCCGAGCGCCATACTTTTGGCTGCGTCTATTAGAGTTGGGCGCTTGCAGCCAGGCAGCCTCCCTCTCCATGCGACCGTCATCACAAGACACAACCTACTATCTCGCCTAGTCACGAGGCTCTCAACAATATCGCCCATCGCCATCGCAAATCGCCCTCCGAGTATCGCTTTCCCCCGTCGATTGCAATCTCGTCTCCAGATCCGAATATTCGGTTTGCTCTTACCCCAGACCCGCTTGTGCGATAGACGACCTGAGATGTGTCTCGGCTGCGTTTAAGCTTGGCCGTGAGTAACAGCTTCGCCTCCACTCGATAAGGTCATTCATTCGTCTATCTATCACCACGCGCGTGCGCGCACACACCGATCAAATCAGAAGGCCCTATCCCCAGGCAGAATGACTATCCCTTCACATTTCCATGTGTCGGGCGGCTTCAATAGAGAAGGTGTTCACCCTGGCCTATTCCGCCCACCCATCTCACCAAGCTCTAGCACCAGCTACGGATATGCTTCGCCCTACAGCACAGCAACCCCCGACGGACAAGCTACGAAACGAAAGAGACCTTGCCATGATATATCGCGATCCCAGGAATTCCGCTTCCAGGATGATTCTGATAGAAATGGTTATTTTGGAACGCCAGTGGCTCAGATGAGGAATGAGGAAATGCGGTACCAACTTGCTGGACAGCTTGATACACCGAGTTCTGGCCCTTTCAATAGCGGTATCCTCGACGAGAGCATGTATTCGGACACAGACTATCGAAAAGCGCTTGGCTCGAAACGAACCCACGACGATATCGATCATGGAGCTGGACCGACACAACTGTTCAATCTGCCTCCTCAGCCGATACAGTCCCAAGGCTGGGGCAGCTTCGCATTCTCAACTATAGGAGGTGTTGTTGGACGTGTATGGGAGTTTTGCAAGACAGGCTCATTTCGAGGTTTCCAGGCTGGCGGTGGTAAGGCCTTCACGATGAAGTCCGGCAGAGTCGAGGAGTTGGACCAGACACTATTCGAGAGTCAGCATCTTCCCGGTCGATTCCCGCCATCGCAAGAGGATTACTTCAACCAGCGTCAATCCGACAACGCAGAACAAGGTGGTAATAGCGGCGCATCTACACCCACATCACCCCATCCGAAGCGAAGACATACAGACACGAAAGATGAACTTGGCAGGAATTGGGTCATGGTGAGTGATGAGAAACCAGCTGAGCCTGAACCCAAGCCTGAGCCCGAGCCTCCGCTGCGACGTCCGTCTTATCGACCGTCCCCTCGATCGCGAAACTCGGGCCCCTCCATGACTACAGGCCGACGCATCAGTGCCGCTCCATCAGCCCGATTCTCTTCTGCCTCTACGCCCGGTCAGCGACGATCCACTACCAATCGCCCGACTAGTCGTCTATCACACGCAGCAGCATCACCTTCTCCACGGCTTGCATCAACCGCGTCATTCGCGTCACTGGCTCCCCTCGCTTCTCCTCGGATAGAATCGCCCAGCAGGATACCTCAACCCACCCGCTCCACTCGCCGAAGTACCACCATCTCATCGCCGATAACAAAGCCATCGACGCACCGCCGGTCTCACTCTAATGCCTCAGTAGCATCAGGACGTACATCAGCAGAAGCCAGTCCCCGTCTGACCGCAGAAGCCAAGCATCTCGCAGCACGCCGTAAGATGGAAGAACGAGATGCAGATGTGCGGATCAACGCTTTCAACAAACAACTACAGGACATGATTCGCCAGGGTAGAGAAGCCTTGGGCACGACGATTGAAGTGGAGGGTAACTGGGAGGATGACCTGTGAACGACTCCAGCTGCCATCCATCCATCCATCTACCTACCTACCTTACCTCGTGACGACCCATTAGACATCTTGAAGCCACCTTCCTACCTCGTGAAATCTCTCACTGATACCCTCATTTCTTTCGTTTCTTACTGCCTGGGCAGCAACGTCGGGGATTTTGGCAGGACTTTTTGTTTTTTAAAGGGAGATCTTATTTTCGTCGGGGAGTTGATTAAGGATCTGGGCGTTGAAGCGAACGGAAACTGACTCTTTGCTTGTATCAGTCATACACACACAAACTTACAACTGACTGACTGATTTCTTGGCAGTTATAAATAACTGCCTGATTT